GTGCAGGCCATACGTTGGTGAGGGAACCCACCGATGGACAGAAAGAAGAAGTGAGTTCTAATAAAGTCAAGAATCAAGTGATGTGTCACATGAGAAAGTGGTGTAGAACAAATGGAAGCAAGAAAGAAAAGAGATGCATTGATGGAGGTGTGAGTTTCCTAAGCTGGGCATTACTAAGACTCTGTAAGATACAATTTTTAGTAAAGAGGAGGGCATGCGATTTAGATTGCTGTGAACTCAAGTTAATGTAGAAGGCGAAAAAATAGAAACAGCTTGTACAGACTACTTGGAGAAGTGTTTCTGTGTAAAGCATCTTAAAAGATTGTAAGGTGGATTCAGGGTTATATAAATAAAAGAAAAAAATTTATACTGAAGGAAATGACCACTCACAGTTATGAAGAGGAAGGCATGGTAGAGGGCTTTGAAGATGACAAAGGTGGCATCATTCATGGAGTAAAACTCTAAGCCAGGCGAGGTGATACAACGTGCAGCACAAAGGTTGAAGCCAACCTCAGTGCTAGCTCAGGTGGAAGATGGTAAATGAGCGGGACTTTGGAAATGCCCACTGATGGCTGTTTTGTTTGACCTTAGGGGTCATCTGAGGGGTGGTGTGAGGGAAGAAGGGACAAGGAAGCCCGCTGGGCATGTGGCTTTCAGGGTATTGTGGGGGAAGATTAGGAATTACTGGCCCAGCTAACATGATAAACATGGCATCTGTCAGCCAGGAAATTGAAAATGATGCATCTCAGGCAGCTACAAGACTTGGCATCTTTTCAAACAAATCATTTTATATTATTTTAAGGCAAAATTTATGTTATGGGATGGAGGAAACAAGGGTTCTAATTTGGATAAGTAAAAGAAAAAACTGGACACCTTATTGGCAATACGTCTTTCACACTGTCTGCAGGATTCTTCTCTGACCCCTGTTGATCAGAAGGGGACTTTTGGTCCATCTTTCTCACCACCCTAGTGACCTCTTCCAGGGAAGCCATTTATTGGCTCTGATCCATTGACTGGGTTCATGTAATGACATCTCAAACAGAAGGTCTTACCCTTGATGAATTGAAATCTCTCCCACTCATTCCTAGAAATACTTAAAAAAAAAAAAACAGGGCCTACTTAAAAAATATGAAATGAAAATAACTGATTTAATCTGAGCCTGTGTTCTCCTTTTTTTGTAGTTATACACAAATGGAACAGAAAAAAATATATATATGTACTTTTTGACATTTGATTTATTTCAATTTGGGGAGCTACTGTGCAGAGTAAACCACGTTGGCCTGGAGATTCACAAAGCAACTTCCTTGGGGTTATGGGGCCAGCCCAAGGCCAGGGACAGCTGAAAGGAGCCTAAGGCTCGATGAAGACAGAATAAAACCACTTTACATCAAGGGACTCAAAAAGACATTCTTCTCTACTAGCATTAAATTTCTCTGTTGTGTGGTTTTAATTATTTTAGCTAGTTATATTGTATAAGTTCTACTTAACTGTTTTGTAACAGATTCTATAGAATGTCAAAATCATAATTCTTCTTTTGCAATACTAAAAATGCCTTGAGTATGCATTTGTTGAGTAAATGGGAATATTTGAAATAATTTGAAAATACTGACACAATAAATATGCAGACATTTAAAATAGATATTTTATCTCTACACTTTCCCTGGATTATGTTTCCAAAAGCCAGATGACTGGATTTATAATTTAAAATAATAAAATTCGATGATATGATTAGAAGGTAACAATGTGATGTTTCAAAGAAAGCACACAGAAAAAGTTACGAGTAAGCGGTTTTAGAATGGACAGAAAAGAGTGCGCTTGGTGAGCTGTCCACGGCTGGGACTTCCCAACACCACTGTGCTAATGGAGAACATCGGAATGAATGTGTGTTAGACACTTAGACACGAAGGTCCCACCAGGCAGTGTTTCTAACGTGGGAAAGCAGGCAAGCGTTTCCCTTGTGCTCTCCACGACACTCCGAGTCTCACCTGCTCGCACAGAAAAATTTGTAAAAACACAAAGGAAAGTAACTTGGAGAAATGCGTACATTCAAACTGAACTCTGAGGTAATGAATGCAAGAGGAGGAGACAGCTATTGGAAATGTGATAGATATTGATTCCACAATTAATAACAGGGATTTCTCTTGAATGGAAATAGAAATTTTTAAAATTTTTATATTACATTATTTTGGTATTGGGGACTGAACTCAGTCTCGCGGTACTGGGGAAATATAATTTAATCAAACATTTATCAATAGAAACTTTAAAAGTAGCTTTCTTGTATTAAAATGTTCTCTTCTAGGGTCTTTTCTGGCTACATTTTTGTGTTTTTCTGAGGCCCATGGTGACAGTCTCCAGTGCAGGTATACATGTCCCTGCATTATGTGAGCCAACTTTGGTGTTTCTTAGGAGTTACTTTTTTCGCTAAAAACAGGGATTTTGCCTGTGTTCTGTCATTGTACTGAAGGCCTGAAAGATACATTAAAAAAGGAATCTGTGTGCAAATTGATTCTTCAATGTCCAAGCAGCCCTGGCTCTGCCTTGGATTCTGCATATATTAACATCAAATGGTCACACCTGCCTCCCAGGGTGTGTGAAATTTGGAAAGTCAGTATGATATTGCTCAGTGCCTAGAAATCCACCAGACAATCCACAGAACACAAATAATGAGCCCTGTCAAAAGCGTTTTGTCGATTTTTCTTGCTTTTCAAAATAGGCATCTAGATTCAGGATGCAGGTCCGGACCCCTACCAAGGTTAAGCTCATTAGCCCCAGTGGCCTGCGCTCAGTGCTGAACATAAAAACTGTGTCTGACTCACACTTTCCCAAAGAGGAGACTGCTTCAATGATGAAACAAATTAAACAGATATCGCTGCGGAGCAGCTTGCAGGGTGAAAGCTTTAGTTTGGTTCTATAGAACACATTTATGATGTCTTATTGAGGTGGAATATAAGGTTATGGCACAGATGTGCAAATTAAATTCAAAAGGAGACTCTAGGTGTAAGACGGTTGTCTTGAACTGGGCCACTGAATCATGTACAGGATTCAAATACAGTCTGAAAGGGAAAGCAGTCAAGTGTTTGGAATATGCTTGCAGTAAGAAAGCCGAAGAGAATTTGATCCACTTAGTATAAATGAAATGAGGCTGAGGAGTTCACATATGCCTTGGAGCAAAATAATCAAAGCATGTTTTATAGTAATGACAAAATAAGCTGACATGGGTAAAGCAGCAGGGACAATTGTCCCACTAATGATTGTTTTGTGTCTTTTATACAAAGATTACTTTTCTTTCTCAATCAAGTCTCCACTCCAGTCTAAAGATGACTGGCCTTCTTCAGGTCACACGTAGCAAACTGAGCTTCAATCAGCGAACTTTTCCAGTCTGGAAGACCATGTATCACTAATCCATGGATTCTCGTTCCATAACTTAAAAACTTTTGTTCACTTTCCCATTCTCTCCATCACACTCACTTTGCAGTGATGTGTTCCCTTCTTGTGTACATTTCTTTTGCTCTGTTTGTTCCCTGCCCAGCTGGGTCTCTGACTGACCGGCCTCTGATGGGCTATTGCGGGAATCACAGACTTGTCCATGTTTAATAATGTCTACTTTTGTCTAACTAATAATATTTATTCTTCCTGACTTACTTTGATTTGCATTTTTATAAATAAGAGAAAGTATAAAAGTAATAATTGGCTTGTTGAAACCACATCGGTCCTTTGGAAATACTAGGTAAACATAGGGATTTTTAAATGTGTTTTCTCATCAGTATTCAGGCCATTATTCCTAGCACAGGCAGGACACAAAATGCATTTGTGGGAACGCTTTGCTCTTGCCCGCATCTAGTGTTTGCCTTTTGCCTGTCCACATCGTTTTCATTCTTGTCCAAGCCTCGCAGAGCTCTGTGTGTGTGTGTTCTGCTTTCTCAAGCATGGGCCTAGCGTCTTTCTAGGACCCCTCTAGGTGGTGACTGGCTGTGTAGTGGCCGTGTACAAACGCAGAACTTGATCAAAAAGAGAGAACATAGTTTTACTTTTGAAAGGCAACGCTGGAAATCCTATTTCCCCCCCTAACGTTCTTTGCAAGGCAAGTTTGCTCTCAAGGGCAAATTAGAGGCAAGAAAGGAGGAGATAAAAAAGAAGGACATTCACTGTGTGAAAAATTCACAACTCTGAAATGAATTTTTTTGTGTATGACATCATGTGTTGTGTACCTGACTCTGATTACTTGGGAGATCTTATTTCATTTTTTTTGTGTAGGTCTTTATTTCCAAAATCTACTTCTCTTTCAGTAGCCATTGCATGTTAAATGTTTCTTGAAAAAAATGTGCTACAGAGATAATTTTTGTACTTTCCATGTATTGAATATTTATTGAATTTATCGTGTGGTAATCAGTGTGCTGTACTTGGAGGGAATGAAGAAAGAGGAGAGACGTAAAATCTGAACAGCATAGATATCTGAATGTTCTAAAGGAAATCAAACACAGTATTTTCTAAGTCTACAGCATGGTCAAGGTAGGAACCAGGAGTCAGAGGATATTATTGATATAAAATGCTTTATAATTTCTTTAGTGGCCACTTGGGAATAATTGATTTTCACAGCACAAGTAAATAACATATCAATTTTGGTATCAAGCCACTTAGTATAGTTTTGTTCAAACAAAATAATATAGAATTTTATAATTTGTAACTAAAAGATTGCTTCCTGTATTTAAAAAAACAATACTTAGGAAATGATTAGGGTGCAGCAAAATAATAAATGTGTATGAGACTTTCAGTGAAAGTAAATTACGTTTTGACAGAAATTAAAATATATGATAAATATCCATCTTTGCTCATCAAATGTCACAAACACGAGAAAAAGTGTAAAATATGTATATACAGTTAACATAAAATCTACTTAGGTTCCCGAACACATTTTCATAACACACTAGGCCCTAAAGCATGAGAAAACGTGCACCGCAGGAGAAGCGAGCTCTGACTTGAAGTGCAGGGGAAAGCCTTACCTAAGAGAAGCAACTTGACCGTCCGGGCGTCTCGCTCGGCATCTTCCTGGAGCTTTTTCTCCAGCTCTCTGGACCTTTTGGCCGACTCCTTGCTTTCTGAGCTAATTCCGCTTCCCATCTTGTCAGGTTCTGGTCGTCAGCTTCTCTGCTCACACTTGTCCAGTGCAGGACACAGCTCTGGTTTGGACACAGTTCCAAGCAGACCAGCGATGCAGCCCACAGCGCTGCTCCGTGCCCTCCAGGACCTGCTTTGACTGAGGCTGTCACCTGAGCGAGGAGCAAGAGCAAGGCTGAAGAGGAAACTCATTATGCTTTCAAATTAAATGGTGGCTGCTTCAAACATGGCTTATCTGCCCTAAAGGCAGCAGGATAGTCCTAGCAGCCATCCAACCTGCCTGGTAGGGTGAGCTGCCACAAGCAACTCCAAACAGACCAGTAGCCCATCTTTGCTAGTGAGATTAAAGTTAGTATTACCAACTGAAAATATTTGTGTCTCATCTTCAGCTATGTGGCTGCTGAGCTCCTTCTCACCACTCTCCTGTCACAGCCGTATTCATAGTTTGCTCACCTTTGATGGTCAATTTACACTTAGAGGATGGAGAATCATGGGGAAACTTCACACACAGTGAACTGGAAAGCAGCTTTCTAAAAAGTATAGTTCTTGTATTTATACATGTTCTTATACCCTAATACAGTTTTTGTATTTATACATGTTATGTTGCCACAAACATAGAGTCCAAAGCACAGTTCTCTTAAATTATTGACTTTAGTCTTATAGGTCCATCTCTAGAAATTGAGTTTTTAGTGCCCATGAGGAAGTCAGTCCGTCAGCACTGATTGGGGGCCACCTGGGTGTAGACATGGGCCTGTGTCCACCTCAGACAGCATGGAAGCTCTCTAGGGTCATCAAAAAACATCTGCTGTGCAGAGGGATGTGTGTTGATGTGGAACCAAGGGGACCCAGCGTTCTCAGGAACAGCAGTTTAGTTCTTCCTAAAAAATAGTGATGGTAAGTACACCCCACAGTGAGTACACCCGACAGTGAGTACATTTGATGGTCAGTACACATATGTTCCAACCCTCTGACCAGCCAACAGATAAGATGCACTCCTTGGAAATCTGCAGGGTTCTGGGCTGAGATATTATGGCACAATGTTTGATTTCTCAAAGCATGAAGTGCTGAATAGGTAGGCAACCCATATTTTCCTCTTAAACACAGTTGTTTGCCTATGGAGGAAGGTGTCTTCCTCCTATATTTTAGGATTTACGAGTGACAGCCAGACAGTGCTAGAATATAGTCAGTGCATCAGCCTGTCAGGGCTACTTGTGTGGCTCAGGTACAAAGTCAGAACAGGTGGGGTTTTTGAATGTTTCTACAACAAGGAAGCAGGCTGCCAGGTTAAACACGTGGGTCTGCTTTGTTTACTTTTAGCCAGTGAAACTGTTGGGCTGAAGATACATAAACATAGTCAAAGCATCATAGATTTTATTTCTTCAGAGCCATATTATAATAGTATAAAAATTTGAAAAGGTACATATGCAAAGATCTGTGTAAATCAGGGCACAGCTTTTACAATGCAAAGGTCCTGCCCTGAGAGATCAGCTCACACTGCCTGCTCACTCCTGGAGACAGAGCCCGCTCTGCAGCGACCCTGAGCCTATTAAATCACATTTTGTGCATTGGTTTTCTGTAGAAATTGAATCTGCACAGGACCATGAGTGCTTGGGGTTCTTGCTTGAGCCATAGCAACTACGAGCTGAAAATATGCATTGCGTGATTTGCATTCAAGGGTAAATGTACTGCACAGTCTAGGCTGGGACGCGCCCCGACTTTGGCACAGTGAGGGCTTACTAAGGCTTCCCGACTCAACCGCCAGCTGCAATGCAAGGACTCTCAGGAGGAGGAGGTGGTAGTGTGTGCGCTGTGTACAAGAGGGGCTCATGGGTTTCCCTGCAGCCCAGCAGCTTCACTGGACTTTTGAGACTGTGATGCTATTTTGCTATGAGTGACTAAAAGATTCCTGGCGTAGAATTCCAGGTTGTGTCTGTGGTGGGGTAGTGCGGGGTGGGGGGCGTGCTAGGAGGAGGAGAAGGCTGCTTCCAGCCGTACCCTCTCCCCAGAGGCCTGGGACGCAGCATCCCTAGTGCGCTGGGGCTGTTAGCACAGTCAGTGTTCATCTCCCTTCACTTAGGAATGCAGATTTTCTGAAACTCAAGATGTGGTGAAAATCTAAATAGCAAATCCACCGGCAAGGGGCAGCGCCTGGCTAGCTCCAGTATCCACGGCCTCTGGGACGGGACATGCCAAAGGAAATGTTAAAAAGTGACTTCTTGCTGACAGCACAATAAAGACCCGGAGCCACTTCTTCCTTGTCCTCTGTTGGTGTCACACCTGGTCTGTCTCAGTGCACTCTCAGTTTCAGAAGCAGTCAATGGAGAAGCTCAGGGCTAGCCTCAGTCTCATTACAAACAGCGCTGCCATTCAGGCCTGCGAGCTTACTTCTGTTCTCTCTAAAAGAGTAGCAGCGGGCTTGCTTTCAGGGGTTCAACCTGTGGCACAGTGAGGGCGCCCTGAACCTGCTATCAGTGAAAGGAAAGGAAGTCAGATGTGAGGACCAGAACAGGTTTGATCTTAAATTCACAAAACTTAAGAAGGTCTCCAAAATGCCACCCTAGTAGGGTTGTACACACTGATCACTAAGACAGATCACTCTGTAGACACACAGGTGCACATGCATGCCCACACACATACATTACAAGACAGAATATATTGGAAGGCTGTAGCCTTTTAGAAGAATCATTGAAGATCACTTTTGGCTAATATCACTGCATCAACCTAAATGGTGACACCATCCTTTGATAGGGATCTATGCAAGGGAGAAAGCTGACTTAAGACTCAGTAGTTGAATGCAGAGAACAAGCTTGTAAGATCTAAAATTCACGGAAGTACTGAAAACCTGGGGCACATGAATCCTTTCCATCTTGCTGTTTTGGGGAGGGTCACCATGGAGTCTTGGAAGAGACATTAGGTTATGAAAAGCTTGAGTAATCCTTCTCTCGTGTTTCCAGTTCAACACAAGACAGAGCTGGCCTGCTTTAACCAGGGCTCCAGCCCATGTTCCCAGAGAGGTCACTCATCAACATTAACCCTTGGGTGTCCACAGCCGGCAGGCTGGCCTCCCTGGGGATGGTACTCCCAGCTAGCTCCAGTGAGTGGCTTTGGGGGCTCAGCTCCTGCTGGAAAGGCCCAAGACGGGCTGTCATCTCTGCTAGTCCCTCTCTGGTTTCCATACTCTGTAAGATGTGTTGATTTCAGGCACTGTGTCCCTCAGTGGTTTGAGTCCTGGCTGCCTTAGCAATGACCTTTATCCTCGCATGGTCCCATGGTGCTGGTGGCAAAGCATCCTCCTCTGCTAATGGTACCCAAATGTGCAATCTAGGAGCTGGAGCATGGTGCTCCCTCCAGAGGGCTCGTGCCTTTGGGGGTTTCTCAGCGCGCTCCTGGGCCCCGAGGGAAGAAGGCAACACTTGCTGTTCCGAGCTCGCCCGTTCAGATGGTGCCTTCAGTTTCCAAGCCCAGCAGCAAGCAGGTTCTTACAGTAAGAGGTGCTGTGTGTGTGTACTTTTACTCTTTGCAGTGGATTTCTACCTTCACTTGGTCTGTAACTCTTCTTTATGGACCAGGACACGACTATGCATAATGATTATTAAATGGTTTTCTAGGCTGCTTTTTCCTAGCTCAGATGTTTTTGCAGCCTCTTTAACATTCACCTCACACAGTGCCTCTTTTATCTTTCTCCTCGGTCACTTCAGGTCTGATTATTGCAACAGGCTCCTCACTAAGTTTCTAGGCTCTGCCCTGCCCCCGGTCGCGTGGCAATTCACCTGAATTCCCTCAAATTTGGCCTGTCCTCTTCCTCTTTTCTTGCTGAGAACATGAGCGGGTCCCCTTGCTTAGTTTTGCCCTCTGCCTACTCCTGTTGTCACCCACATAGCGGTTTAGATAGCACACCCAACTGTCAAACACAGCCCCCAGGACGTTGCATAGCTCCTTTTCTTTTTAGGTAGGCGTTTATCTCTTTTCTAATGAGGTCTCCCCTCATGGTTTTCTTTCATGCTTTCTTCCTTCACTAAGACTATCTTTCTTCTCCACAGATGACTTGCCCAACAGTACCCATTTTTCAAGACAGAGCTACATATGAGTACCTGCTCCCAACTGAGGGTCTGGATCTTTACTTCTCAAGTTTCTGAGAGGCATCTGGGTGTGGGGCATGTATTGTTCATTATGTAGCCATAAGCTTCGCTCTGACCACCTCTGCGAGTTCTTTTCCTCCTTCTACAAACTCTAGGCTGATGGGACATAGAAGAAAATCTTGTTTATTGAATGATGGGTGGTCAGTATGGTATCAAACAACTCTCCGCTTCTTCCTGGAAATACGTTGTAAATGATGGTAAGAATGAAATATTCAGACTGTAACATTGCGAGAGTTTATTTACCCAATAGTTAATCTCCTATGTTCCAGACATAGTAGAGTCAACAGTAAATAGAAAGTGTGGTATTTGACCACTTAGAGCTGAATGTCTAGCATATTTATGTGTGGAATGGGGATCTCATATTTATGAAAAACAAAGTGAATATGTAGAGTATGCAGAAATATAGATGATGACAAGTACCAAGAAAGAATAACCAGAGAATCAAGACAAGCAAATAAAGGTGAACTTAGTGAGGGATTAAAGCATGACTGTGTGTGTGTGTGTGTGTGTGTGTGTGTGTGTGTGTGTCTGTCTGGGGAATGATTCCAGAGCCTTTGCCCTGAGCTACATTCCCAGCCTTTATTTATTGAAGTGTGTATTTATTTATTTATTCAGTGACAGGATCTTGCTAAATTGTTAAATACCCAGGCTAGGCTAGAAATCTTGATGCCTCTGCCTCAGTCTCCTAGAGCACTGGGATTATGAGCTGTTGCCTCCATTCTCAGCTGAGGGTTAGGGTTTTATGTGACATGTCCAGGGGAGACCTCCATGAAGAGGTAATTGGATTACAGGAGGTTCTCCACAAATCAACTTCATTCTGAAAAATGCTTGTAAAAATGCACACAGAGAGCAGTGCACAGGCGGGGTGAGGGGACATGATTCTGACGGTGGGGTTACATACGGTTTCAGCAGGGAACTTGGCGAATGCCATGAGCGAGCCACAGCTGAGTCTTTGGTTTACACTGCAGTGGGGCAAGGAGTCTGGATGAGACACTGAGCACGCGTGCATGGGGAGAGCTGTTATTTGGAGGAAGGGGACCCTCATGACTGAGGGTAGTTTCTGAACAAGGACCGAGCTGTGCTCTGGTAACCCAGGGGATCATTTCTCCCTCAGATGGGGGACTCTGAGTGAGGGCCCTGGCCTTTCCTCACAACCCACCCCTGGCACGCAGAGCACCTAGGCCTTGGTGGTCACTACCTCTGCTCAAAACCTGGGTCCCATTACCCTTGTTCCTCTGAGAAACTTACAAGAAGACACTTCATGAAGTAAACACCTTTCTGTGTCACCGTTGCTGAACTTGAAACAGTGGTTGCTATTCATCTTTTCCTTCTTTCATATGAATTCTAGGTTTCACTCACCTGGCAGTGCTTTTAATTGGTCCTCTCCAAGTTTCGCCAGGACTGAAAGGTTACCTGGGTTGGAAAGTGTTAACTTTTAAATGGTCACAATATGAAAGCTCTCACTCTACAATCAGGAATGAGATAAGAATGTCCATTATCACCACTTCTATTCAACATAGTTTTGGAAACATCAACCAGAGAAGACTGGGACAGTTCCAGACAAACCAAACAAGTTTTAGGATGGTGGGGATTAATAGAGATATGGGACTTTTTGTGCTGAAACTGGGAAGTGTCATGGGAAACTGGGATGACCCAATAATGTTACGAACACTCACACTTGTATTATCTTGGCTCATCTGAGGAGGTGATGAAGGCTCCCACAAGTGTGAGATCTTACACCCCACTTCTGACACCCTTCTCAGGCTATTGCTGCTGGCCTTGCTGTATGCACATAAAGCTGAGTAGGAAGCATCAGTAATGAGCCCCAGCTCTTGTGTAACTGCTACCTAGAACAAGATCCCACTGCAGCAAGGAACTGACCTCTGGCTGGCTTGGTCCTACATTGTTTGAGTATCCAGAGTGCCTTCCTCTCCTTCTTAGACAATCAGTGCTTCTCCAGGGCTTTCATCCTGTAAGAAAGCCATAGAACCTAAGTTCTTCATTTAAAGGAGGTCCAGCCCAGGACAGAAGGGTCCCCCAAAGAACTTTCCTTTTGTGATCTCATTGGGCTGTGGACCAGGAGTGCCCCATTCTGAGGTTAGAGGATCAGGTGGCCAGGACTGCATGAAATGTGACCTTACGTCACTGTGCTCTGTGGAGTCCTTACAAATGACTATAAATGTATCAACACTAACATCTTTATATAAACCCCCTTTGTCGCTCACTAAGGACCTCTAACATAGAAGTAGTCATGCCTGCTTCTGATGGCTGCGGTCCACTGCTCCTTCCTGGTCAGTGGTTCCTTCCCTTGCATTATATTCTCTTCACACAAAGGAACCTGAAGTAACAGAAGGATAAATCCACAGCTTGAGTCTCATTCAAGTGAGTCTGTATCCCATCCAGAGTCCAACCTGTAGTCCTGTACCATGCACCTGCTGGGAAGAGCTATCATCCCTGCTCCCATGACCTGTCCACCCCTAAGCCCACTACAGCCCTGGGCACCTCATCACAAAGGCCCAGCTGGCATCAACTGGCCACATGTTGTGCCTTTTGGTTCCTCCAAGCCTCTTCCATAGGAGGTGCTCATGGCCCGGTGTTAATGTTCAACCTCTCCTCCCTCCCAGTTATTCCACTGCCAGGTCCCAGCGCACCCAGACAATGTACCTGCACTTTCCTTTGTGGCTAAGAGCCTGCTCACAATTTCCGTGCAGGGAAGACAGTGGGGTGCACTTCTGCTGCTGCCCCTTCTGCTGGCCTACTGGCAGCTGTCTTCCCAAGTCCACCCAGGAGTAGAGAAATGGCACAGCGGTGGTCAGTTTTGGGTTTGCTCCCATAGAGCAAGCCAGCTGCCTGGGAACAAAACTTAGGCTTTCCCCTTCTTCATGCCCTGCTGGTCAGCTAAGGGAGAGGCACCCAGGACTGGGCCACTGAGTATGCAGCCCCTGTGAGGTTCCCACAAAGTGATGGATTCCTGTGAAGCCACCTGACCCTGAGCCTTGGGTACCCATTGCCTGATGGGTAGCTCTGGCCACAGAGCCACCTGATGTCCCGCGATGAGATGCTCCACTGCTGCCAACATTCAGCAGTGTGAGATATTTGTTCTCCAACAGTGAACATTTCCACTTAGGTGGCATGACTTTGCTTTGTGTGGCTCTGAGTCATAATTCTCCTGCCAGGGCCTTCCCTCCATTTCTCGAAGCATTTAGTTCTGCAGCAGAGAGCTCTAACAGAGTGGCTTGGCAGCTGGCAGGGACTTGCCCCATAGGCAATCTGTCAAGTTCTGGAGGCCCTTCTGTTTGTCACAGTGGAAAGGGGAGTTGCTACAGTTGCTTGTGTCATCTTCTGGGTATTCTGCAATGCCTGGGACAACTACCAGCCCCCCAGCACAGAAGTACCCCTCCCGCACCCGAGGTGCCGAGGCCTAGGACTCCCTGCTCCGGCCCCATGAGTCCACTGGACACACAGAGCTCTCATCTCAGCACAGCACAGCAGAGCTCTCATTTCAAAGAGAGAGTTCTGTCTCGTCCCTGGAGCCCTTTGGGGTCATATCATAACCCGCAGTGTCTCTGTGACTCAAAGAACTTTACAAGGTGTATGGTCCTCTTTTAGGAACTAGGTACAAGGGACAATAGTTTGTCCCTTATTTTAGACAGAAGCTCTGGATGTTTCAGACAATCGAATTTAGAAATTTCACTAATTTAATTTAACAATTTCACCAGTCAGGCAGGGCCCTGATCCTCTGAAGATTCCTGTTGTACCCATCAGTTGGAATGTGAGTGTCTTACCAGGGCTTCCTGATGTAACACTACTTCTTTATCACTTTATCCTGTTTACAGGTTGTCACTGATATAAGGAGCAATGTTCTATAAATGCTCTAAGGAATGGGAAATTACTGAAGGTCCCTTTGGGATAGCTATGGCAGAGTAAGAAAAAGTTAACCCAGACCGGGACAAGTCAGGAAATTTAGACAGTCATTTTTCCAACTTGACTGCCCATGAGTTCTGTTTAATAGGCCCGGTAGGAATCTATCAGAGTTACTTTCTCATTGTTGGAACACAACATTTGATTTACAACTCCAAGGAGAAGTTTATTTTGGCTAACAGTTTGTAGAGTTTTCAGTCTATAGTGGACTGGATCCAAGGCAGGATGACGCGGCAGAGGGCTTTGCAGAAGAGAAGCAGCTCATAGCATGGCCACTGGAAGCACAAAGAAGGGTCAAGGGAGGAGGACGGAGAGAGTAGTGGTCAATCTACCCAGTGACCACCTCCTCCCACCAGGCTCCACCTCCCATATCACATTTAGCTATAAACCCTCTAGTGGACTAATCCACCAATGAGGGTCCCACTCCCATGATCCAATCATCTCCCCAAATCCCTACCCATGAGGCCATGAGGCTTTGGGGGTTTTATAGCTCTACACTATAACAAAGTGACCGAATCAGCGGCCACACTCTGCACTTGATGCTGAGTTAATACTGCCATGGTAAAGGGTGCTCAGTGAGGCTTCCTGCTGAACATGAGTCCTGGCAGTCCCTGCTGATGGCCAGCTGAAATGAAATGGCAAGAAGGGGCCACCATCGCTGAAGGTTTTGTACTTAGCTGATAAGGACAGTTACCTCCTCTAAAGTACAGCACGGTTTGGTTTTGTTGGCTGTTGTATTTTTCAGTTTGGCTTGCTCTCTCCAAACTCCACAGATGCCTCAAATACAGGAACTCACTTTCTCCCTGCTCTGGATGCTCAGGGTCTGAGACAAACATCCTGGCAGAAGTGGTCTCCATGTGAACTCCTTTCATGGTTTGCAGATGGAGGCCACTTTGCACGATGTCTGCGCTTAGTGTCGTGGTGACATTGACTCTTTTGATCTTTTAATTTGAGCCATACTTGTATGGGCTGTTCATTTGTTTTCACTCTACAAACACTGTGTTTACTGACCCCTTCCACTGATCTGCCACTCCAGCCTCTCCTGTCTGCCACGTTGACTGGGAGATTCTGCTCCTGTACCTATGCAGTGCCCATAATCAAATGCTGCCACTCAGTCACCACTGTGCATCTCATTAACCCCTTTGCTCTTTTGAACGTGGAGGTCAAAACTGTCTTTCTTGTTGCCAGCAACTGTTCTGTGAGTAACAGCCTCGGTGATGCTGGGATCCCTCTCACTAGTGGATTCCTTTCAACTTTAGCACAGGGAAAGCCTGAAGATCATTACCTAAAGTCTGAATAATTTTTCTAGATTTATATATTTTTCATGCTGAAGTGCCAAATTCCATATTTTTTAAAGCCCCTTCTACCAATAGTCATGGGACAGCAATAACCTGGTTTTCAAGGGTCATCCTGGAGAGCGCGGCAGACACTCAGAGGCTGACTTCTGCCTCAGAGCAAAATGCTTCTGTAGGCGCCCCCAGCTTTGCGTTCCCTCTCTTTCTCCTCTCCCTCCCCCCTTACACTTATCTCCTTCCCTCTCCCTCTGCATTTTCTGTATGTTTTGTATCTGCAGTGACCATTAGCAGCTCTCTGGTATCTGGTCTCCAAGACAAGTAAACGCAGATCTTCACTAACATGCGCGGGATCTTTAAAGACACAGGCTTTCTGCTGACCCTTGCTACAGATATGCCAACCGTTAAAACAAGGGACCTATGTCTTGTGCTGGTCCTGAGGGCCTGGGGCCGTGAGGACCCCCACTGTTTTGATGTGCTAGCCTAGCACCCCTGTTTAAGTTTCAGGATTCCACTCCTCCCTGGTTAAGATCTCTACTTCGTTGCAGGGAACTTGTCTAGGTTGAAAATTCAAATCTCACTGGAAAGGTGATGCTTTTATAGTTAAATCTTATGCTTGGTCAGCACTTTCTACTCTGCTCAGCTCCACTGTAGATGATGAAAGCTGATTTCTATGTGGTGCAAAGGATGGTGGGGCATTTGCACATTCACTGAATTGGTGATTAGTAAGGGCTGGCTTTCCTGGTGCCTCGATAGCTGCCAGGAATAGCTATCATTGCCGGAGTCATCATTTCTACTTTCCCCACACTTCTCAAACACTGAAATTTACCCTCCCTGCACACTGCCTCTGAGTAGTGTCCGGTCTTGTTTCCCTACCAGACAGCGTTCTGAAAATGATACGGCCACCTCAAGCTAAGGACTCCCAGTAACACACTGACTTGTAGTAATGGGATCCCAGTTGCCCTTCTGGCTGGAGGCTGGATGTGGGCAGTCTGGTTCCAATCTCCAATGTTAGGATCACTTTTGGTACCAGCTCCCCACCTGAGGTCTCCTGGAAACGAAAGCTAGGATGGATCTTCAGGAAATGGGCAGAGGGGGTCTTACATGTTTGGAAGGTGCACCTCGTTGGAGGCCTGCTTGGGAAGCTGGAAAGTTGTAGGAGACACCTGGGTGGGTGGACCCTGTGAGATCTGAAGCTGCAGCAGCTGCTCCTGAGGACCTCAAAGTAGGATGGGCCTTCCGACACCCAAGTTATCCATGTCACTGGTGAGCGCTGCCCAGGTAAGAGTTACAACCTTGGCTAGAGTGGATGCTTTCTGTCAAAGGTGACTCCTGGACAGACTCAGCTGTCAGTGCTCCCTGGAGAAGTGGAGCTGGAGGATGAGGGTGCCAGTCACAGTCACAAGAGTCCTGGTGATGTATTTAGTAGAGAGAGTAAACAGCCTCCCTGCTCTTAGTGAACCCGTCCCTTAGATCCACACTGGCATCCACAGTGCCCTCTCTCCAGCTCTCAGGACTTTAAAGGATACTGCTGGCTTTGCTGGGTCCCCACCCTGCAGGGCACAGACCACAGGACTTTTCCATCTCCATAGCAATGTGAGCCAATGCCTTCAAAGAGTCTCTTTAAGAACTTGTTGTAATTTATTTAAGCCTCGTATCCAGTTTATCACCCATACTCATTAATGGCCTGTAGAGTTTAGAGTGAGAGAAAACCCAGCTATGATTCTAGTTTCATCATTTCTTATGTGTGGCCCAATATCTCAGCAGGTCATATGATTTCTGAATGTGTTCCCCACCTCCGCAATTCAAATGTTGCTG